GCTAGAGAACCGCGCGTGAAAAGAGGAATGGTGGACTTAGTGAACGGAGGGACACAGCTGGGCAGAAGATGCCAGACAGAGTAGACGGGAGGGAAGGGAGAAGGACAGTTTGGGAATAAACTGGATGAGCCGGAGCTGGTTGGACAGGTGGAAGTGGGGAAGGAAAGAAGGGGAGCGAAGAGGCAATACAACAGGCGGAAGGACAGTGGGGCTGCCCCTGGTGAGCGTTTGGACCGACCGATGAAAGAGCAGATGAACAGCTGACTGAGCAGATACCAGTAACGCGTGGATGGAAGAACGCGCGGACGCAGAGGTGGAGGAATCGGTGGAGCAACGAGCAGATGGGGGAGGAAAAAGGAAGAAGCCAGGGGAAAAGCCGGGAGGCCGTGGAGCAGAGGACGAGCGCGAAGGGGCGGCGGTGGGCGGAGAGGAAGCCGCTTCGGCGTGGAGAGGCCCCGCTGCCGCCCGCGGGGCTGCGGGGCTGCGGGGCTGGGGGGCTGCGGGGCTGCGGGGCTGCGGGGCTGCGGGGCTGCGGGGCTGCGGGGCTGCGGGGCTGCGGGGCGGGACGACAGGTGGGCGGTTCCGACCCAGCTCCGCCTCTCTTGGACCTAGGTGGCCACGGCCCGGCTGACCGGCAGGGACGCGGCACCGCGCGAGGAGCAGCAGCCTCGCGGGAGCCCGGGCCAGGTGGGCGCAGCCCGGCGGGTGTGGCCTGGGGAGAAGGCTTAGGGGCGCCGGGATCCCGATCCCGAACCCGCTCTGCAAATCCCGCGCTAGGGCTCCCGCCGCCCTGGATCTAGCTGGGCTATTATAGGAACTCCGGTCGTAGCTCCCTAACGCTTTCTGCGCCTCGTTTTCCTCCTCTGGGTGATGGGAAGGTTCGATTCTACCACCCTGGGGACTGCGGGAAAGCGGAGTGCAGCCACCTCGGGGTTGGCCCTGCGCTCTAGACACCAAACGAATCCGAGGGATTTCTTTCCTCGGCAGCCAGGGCGACCCAGCCACTGTCCTAGGTGCTGAGCGCGCCGCGGCCAGCCCAACCCGCAGGGCTTGCGGTCTTGGCGTCGCCGGAGACCCCGCGAGGTAGACGGGCGACACGGCGCATTGCACAGCTGTGGATCCTGCAAGGCAGTGACATTTTTAAGGACCTCGCTGCCTGGGATGGTGGTGCACACCTGTCAACCAGCATTTTGAAGCGGAGATAGGAAGATTGTGAGTTTGAACCCAGCTTGGGCTCTTCAGTGATTTAGCAAGACCTGTCTTAACTTGTGATCCTCCTACCTCAGCTTCCCAGAGCACTGTGATTATAGGTTGCCCCTCCACACCCGGATTACTCTTGAGGTCCCAAAAGGGTCCAGTGCACTGGGAGTTTGGTGGGTCTCTAATTTCCACCTGGAATTCCCTTCAATTCAAGGAGTTTGATAATATTTATGGCTTGAGACCACCTTAAAACATTCTCTCCTCTGTCTTTCTCCACAGGTGGACAGTTTCTTGTCTGCATGGCTCTGTAGAGGATGAAGCCCAACCCCACAGGCCTCTCCCCGGAGATCTGCAGAGCTTCAGGCCAGAGCGAGAAGAGCTGCCCTGTCTGCCAAGCCTGGGGAGGGGTCTTAGGTCCAGGCTCTGGCTTGAGGTCAGGGCCCGGGCCAGGGCCTGGTATGGTGCCCAGGCCTGGGCCAGCGCCCAGTGATGTCCTGGGGTCCGGACTAGGACCTGGTGCTGTTTCAGGGCCTGACGCTACCGCAGCACCTGGGCCGGGAGCCGGGTCAGTACGCAGTGCTGGAGTTGCTCTACTAGGTGGACCAGGGGCTGGGCCCGTAGCTGACCCGCGAGCTGCCCCATCACCTGCGCCAGAGGCTGGCCCTGTACCTGGGCCAGAAGTCAGGCCTGCAGCCAGACGGGGCTCTAGTTCTGGGCCCAAACCCAGTGAATCGACAGCACCAGCACCAGCACCACAGCAGAAGACTGAAGCCAAACCCACGCAGGCCCCCAGGCAGAAGGTTCTGGTGACGGGAGGAGGAGGCTACCTGGGCTTTAGTCTGGGGTCCAGCCTGGCCCAGAGTGGCACCTCTGTCATCCTGCTCGACCTCCGCAGACCCCAGTGGGAACTGTCCCCAGGGATGGAGTTCATCCAGGTGCAGAGACTGGAGGAGATGGGCAGGGGCAGTGTCTTACATGAAGGCAGTGGGGCAGTGCAGGGCAGGCTGTGGGGCTGGGCTTCTCTCTCTCCCACCTGGGCAGCCAAGGTCACAGGCTCTATGGCCCTCAGCCGTGGTCCTCATCCACAGACAGGGCTGAGGATCCCATCTACTTTCCAAGGCTCTCATGGGGAGCTGATGAAGTAGTACATTGCGAGACAGCTAGCCCAGCCCTGGGGCCTGGAGAGTGGGGGCCAAAGACAGCCACGCGCCGCCAGTCTTTCCTGACCTCACACAGGCTCTGTCTGAGTCAGGTCAGGGGCCACTTCTAGGACCGGCAGGGTGCAGTGCTACTGTGGAGGTTTGCTTTGAGCCTGACCTCCTTCCCCATCTCTGCCTCCCCTGCCTCAGGCTGATGTCCGAGATGAAGAAGCTCTGTTCCACGCCCTGGAAGGGGTAGGCTGTGTCTTCCATGTGGCCTCCTATGGGATGTCTGGTGCTGAGAAGGTGAGGCCCTCACTTCCCACCTGGAGTTGGGGAGCACGGGGCTCAGGGCTCTGCCTGTCAGGCCCAGACGGAACTCATGGCTCTCCTCCTCCTCCTCAGGGAGGATTTGGGCTGCTCCTAGCTACTCCTAGGTCGTCTGCAACCACACCAAACACAGTTCTGCTGCCCTCTAACTATTGTACCTGAGGCACGTTATCTCCTCAGAGCCTCTCCTCACCTGAAGAGGAGGACAGTAGCACTGCTTGTGTCACAGGCTTCTCACAGAAGTGTGACTGTGTGCTACAAAGACATCTGCACACCCCGACTCAATGGTAGCTGGTGTCATGGTTCGGGACTTTGAGCACAGTGCTCTGGGAGTCGGAGGCAGGGGGCATCCAGAGCTGTGGCCTGGCCTGGGTGATTTAGCTGCCTTGAATTAAAAAATGGGAAAATGGGCTGGAGATGTAGTTCAGTCCAAATTGCTTTATTTATGTCTTTATTTTTTAATTTTATATATTTGGTGCAGGGTCTCACTATGCAGCTCAGACTCCTAGTGATCCTCCTGTTTTCAGCCTCCCCAGCGCTGGGATTACAGGCGTAGGCATGCACCGCCACACCTGGTCTCGTTGGCTGGCTCTGCATACCTGGAGGTGGGGCCAGCGCAACATGTGGTGCCAGGGATCGAGCCCAGGTCCTTGTACTTACCTGGGCATGCTCTTAGACCACTGAGCTCTCTCCACTGCCCAATAATTGCTTTAAAAAAGAAAAAAAATGAAGAACTTGCACTGATTTATTTATTTGTGCCATTATTTTTTAATAACAAAGCACCAAGAATAACTTAAATGTTCATTATTTGGGGACTACGTAAATGAACTGTGAGTGAAACCACACGGGGCACAAAACAGTGTTTAGGGTCCCGTTTTGCTTTTGTTTGAAGAAAATGGCAGGCGTGATCACTTATTTCTGTACTCACGCAGGCCTGTGTGCTGATTTGTCGTCTGTCTGTCTGCCTTCCTCTCTCTCTCCCCTGTCCTTCATTTTTCTCCCTGCTGCTGGAGATGGAGCACAGGGCCTCCCACGGGCTGAGCGGGCGCTCTGCCCCCGACTACTCCTCATCTCTGTGCTGGTGCCGATAAGCATACTTCATCTCTAAAATCACACTGTGAGCAGTGGTTACCTCTGCCCGGGGAAAAAGAAGAAGGAATGAGGAGTGGGAGGGAAATTTCCTCTTCACCAGATAACTTTTATTGTTTGGATTATTTTTTTTAATCTTCTATTTATTTATGTTTTTGGTGCAGGGTCTCACTATGCAGCTCGGACTCATAGTGATCCTCCTGTGTCAGCCTCCCCAGTGCTGAGATTCCATGCCTGTGCCACAACACCCGGTTTTGGGGGCTGGCACGGTGCCCTCAAGGTTCTGGGGCTGGCACAGCATGTGATACCAGGGATTGAACCCAGGTCCTTTCGCTGGCTAGGCAGGAACTTAGACTACAGAGCTATCTCCCCAGCCCTCTTTGAATGATTTTTAACACATAGTTTTATTACCTATTAAACAAAAAACACTACAATGACAATATATTTTTAAAAGTGAACATAAAAGCCAGGCTTGGAGGGCCTGCCTGATAGCTCAGAGGACTAAAGAGCCTGCTTATGCAGAGTGTATGGCTGGAGTTCAATCCCCAGCACCAGCATGCAGTGCTGGGCCCTGCCCTCGGGGCAGGCTGAGAAGGTGATTGAGCCTGGGCGTGGTGGTGCACACCTGTAATCCTAGCACTGTGGAGGCTGAAAACAGGAGAATCACTACGAGTCCAATCTACATAGTGAGACCCTATATACCCTGCAGACCCTGTCCTAAATACAGAAGAAGGAAAAAAAAAAAAAAAGTAAGCCAGGCTTGGTTGCACATGCCTGTAATCCTAGCACCTTCTCAAGCTGAGGCAAGAGGATTTAAAGTTTGAGCTAGACCGAACCACTTAGTGACCTAGCAAGACCCTGCCTTAAGGGCCAGGGAGATAGTTCAGCGGCATAGGCACCTGCCTGGCAAGTGCAAGGTCCTGATCTCAATCTCTTTTTTTTTTTTTTTTTTTTTCTGGAACCAGGTATTGAACTCAGACCCTTGTGCTTGCCAGGCAAGCATTTATTCTACTGAGCTATCTCCCCCGCCCACTGAGTTCAATCTGCAGTACAAAAAAAAAAAAAAAAAAAAAAGACCTTGTCTTAAAATTAAAAATCAGATAAAAAGGGCTGGGGATGGCTCAGAGTGAGGACCCTGAGCTCAGTCTCCAGTACTGAGTAAATGAACAGCCCACCTCCTAGTGGTGACGTAGGGACCCAGCGAAACGGGGATCACAATACCCTTGCACAGTCCTTGGTACACGGGGGCCAGTGCTGCAGACCCTCGTCCTGGCTTCTACACCCAGCCCCCACCAGAGGCCTGGTCTCCCTCTGTCTGTCTCACCAGATGAAGGAAGCTGGGACTCTGAGAACAGGAGGACAATGCCACAGGTTGTGGGTCCCGCTCTCCAAACCCCAGTCCTCGTCCCCCAGGCATCCTATTCAATCCTCCCGCCCACCCCGGGGCCGTTGAGGGCACTGCAGCAGAGCTGGACATCCTGCCCGCCCCTGTGCCCGGCCTCTGGCCTCAGCGACAAGGCAAGAGACCGCATGGTGACCTCCCACTCCTTCTTGTCTTCTAGCTGCAAAAGGAGCAGATTGAGTCTATCAACGTCGGAGGCACAAAGCGAGTGATCGATGGTAGGTGCCCGGTGTGGCCTGGGCGGCACTGGCTGCGCGCTTCCTCCTCCGCTCCCTCCGGGGCCACAGGCCCAGCTCCTCGGAGGTGGGGGCACAGAGGCGGGGCCCTCCTGGCTGGTGTGCCCGCCCTGCCAAGGACCTGTGTGCAGAGCGTCTCCCCTGCGTGTGAGCTGCCCGGAGCCTGTCAGGGTGGGGAGGCAGGGGGGAGTAGGCGTCAGGGCGCGGAGGGACAGAGGGAGAGTGTGCCATGCCCCGATAGGAGGCCTGTGGTGTCCTGCGGCTCCGCGCTGCCTTCTCCGGGACCCCGCTCTGCCTGCTTCCTCGTTTCGTGCTGAGTGAGGCTTTCTTCTGATCTGTGCCTGAAGGGTGGCTCAGGGGCCAAAGCTACACTGAGAAGGAAGAAGGAGCAGGCCTGATGCGCAGGGGTCCACGGGGCGGGACTCAGCCTACACTCGAGTTAAGGGGTGCATCCCCCAGCACCTCTCGATTCTGGGTGCATCAGCCTGGGGTGTGTCTTGAGCTTTGAAGACAAAGTCTTGGCAGACTTCTGCTCACACTCGGTCCCTTGCGCATGTACTGCGGCCCTGTGCGTCCTCGCTGCAGCCTGTGTCCACCGGCGGGTTCCAAGGCTCGTCTACACCAGCACTGTCAATGTGGCGTTTGGCGGGAAGCCCATAGAGCAGGGTGACGAGGACTCTGTGCCATACTTCCCGCTGGACAAGGTACCTGAGGCCCGGAGGTGGGCGTGGCCCAGAGGGGGGCGGCGAAGGGCGGGTCTGTCCCCGCAGCTCCGGGTGAGTGCCCACGGAAGGCCCCCAGCCAGGAGACCAGCCCACCTCCGTTTCATCTTGTCACGGCTGGAGGAGCTCTGAAGCCAGACAGACCTGGCTGCACCCCCACCTGCCCCTTCTGACCTGGGTGACCTGAGCGAGTTACTTCATCACCGAAGCTCCTCTCATCACTGGGGCAAACTGCCTGGCGGGTTGTGGGGAGCAGATGAGGGACCTGGTGTGCAGACCCCGTGGGGACACTTTCAGCATCAGCGCCAAGGGCCAGGTGCCAGCAGTCGCTGAGAGCCTGCCTGAGCCTACCTGCCGTGGTCACCTTACTGCTGTGATCCCGGTGCCCCCTCTGCTGCCATGACCATGGAAGGAGACACCCTGTCCTCCACCCAGAGGGAGAGCAGGGCTGTGGGCCCCCAGCTCAGCAGTGCTGAAGCAGGAGTCCCCCGACTCCACGTGCACATGGTCCTAGAGGACCCATTGCCTAGGGCCAGGCTGGGATGAACCAGTGCTGCCCACAGTGCTGCGATCCTGACGTGGGATCCCAGCGGGTCACTCTGCTCTCTTGTCCTCCGGTAGCACATGGACCACTACTCCCGAACCAAAGCCATCGCAGACCAGCTGACCCTGATGGCGAACGGGACCCCTCTCCCGGGTGAGCATCACAGGCCCTGCTCGCAGCAAGCCTGCCTGCCCCTCCTGCCCCCTCCAAATATCTGGTGATTGGAGCTTTCAGCCAACAAGCATGTGAGGCCGGCCTTCCTTCTCAAGGACACCTCCTGGGCCCTTGGGCGTTCACTCTGAGGGCCGTGCACACGGCTAGGCTGTTTCTCACCTGCCAGGGCTGCAGCCACAGGAGCAGGTCCTCTCTGCCCTCTTCCCATCTCTCTAATGGGAAAAGACTGAAGCTACCCCATGCCAGACCTCTCTTCTGTCTCAAGAGAGTGGGTCCAGTTTTAGAGTCCTCCGTAAAGAAAAGAACAGAACAGTATGAATATGGGCAGAGCTGCAGCACTCTGAAGGGGCCTTACAGCTTAGCCTTTAATAACATGCCAGAAAAAATGGCCTCGGCTGCTGTTTTGTGCTACCCTTTGTGATTACAGCAGAGTAACCCACACCTACTGAGGGCTTCCTGTAATAGGCTAATGCTGTGCAGAAGACCTGCATTCTCCACAGCTTCCCGGGCAGTGAGCGCCTTGGGCCTCCTTGCCTTCTAACCTCAGGAGCTAAATCCACCCAGATAAATTCCTTCTTATCTAAGTGATCACTCCTGGCTTTCTGAAATTCAGAAAGCAAACTTAATGAGATAAGCTGGGTCTCCCTTCATTACCAAAGCTATCCCACTGCGAGAGCTAAATGATTCTGGAGGGGAGAAATGCTTGAAATTATAAGCCCTGGCTTACAGGTGCAAAAGGCAAAACCTGAGAGTGACAGACTTAACTCAAGGTCACATAATGGTTAGGTGGCGGAGGTGGGATTGCGACCCCGGAGAGCCTAACCCCAGAGCGTAGGCCTCAGCACCGTGCTGTGCTCCAGGCCGAGAGGGGCAGGTCCCTGGGCCTGGGGTCCTGCCCTCCCCCTCCCCCTGGGCCAGCCAGGCCTCGACCCCTGGTCCCACAACTGGTCCCACAACTGTGTTTTCCTAGAGTCTGACATTGTGCAGTTGAATTCCCTCTCTGCCCAGAACCTCCCCAGCCAGGCAGACCACAGCATGCCGCTAGACACCTAATCCCCTGGCTGGGAATTATTTATATGAGCATCCCCAGCTTTCCGTGGTCAGGGCAGTCATGGATACCCTGGCCCGGCCCCTCTGTGACGTGGCCGCCCTGTGCCCGCCAGCTGCAAGCTGATCTCCAGCCACCATGCTCCGGAGACCTAGAATTTAAGCTTAGCCGTGGGCTGTTTACAGAGCTGCTCACCCGATACCCACCTTCCAGGAGTGCAGCCCGGTCATCCGGGGTCATGGCTACTCCTTGTGCCCCACGCCAGTCCCGGGGGCGTCCCTCTAACTTGGGACCCAACAGAGAGGTCCCAAGTCCGCGTGGCTGTGTTCTGCCTCTGAGGGTGTGTAACCTACGGCTATCACAAATGCTGCTTGAAACAATAGAAATTTCTTCTCTTTCCGCCTGGGAGCCAGAGCCTGACCTGGAGGGGTGTCGGGCTGCTCTCCTCCGAAGGCTGGGGCGGTCCTCCTCCTCTCTTCCAGCCTCTGCTTGGCCCGCAGACCTGCGCTCCCTGCCTCTGTCTTCGTGTGGCCTCTCATCTCTCTGTCTCTTCTGTGAGTCTAATGTAAGGACACTGGTCACTGGACGTAAGGCCAGCTGGGTGATCCCAGCTCGAGATCCTTACTGCAGCCACAAAGATGCTTTTTGCAATAAGGTCAACACCGACAGGTTCTAGAACGTGGACATACTGGGGGCACGGTTGCACCCACTCCACGGGGCTTTGCTGGAGAGTAAGGACGCGAGGAAAGGGGCAGTCTGGGTGTTCCATTGTAATGTGGGGACCCCAGCCTGGCTTGTTGCTTGAGAAAAGGGAACTTATCCAGGAAGGGTGTGGCATGGCTTCTGGAAGACAGACTTCCAGATGTGTGACTCCCACGTGGGGACAGCCCAAGGGACATGGAGGAAGGGAAGCCTCCAAGGGTTTTGGGTCCAAGGGTCACTCCTGGGAGACTATATCATGGCCTCCAGCTTATGGTTCCCATTCCGCCCACCAACCTTGACCACCCCCTTCTGTCCTAGGAGGAGGAACTCTTCGCACCTGTGTCCTCCGGCCGCCAGGGATTTATGGCCCTGAAGAGCAGAAACACCTGCCCCGCATTGCGGTACGGTTGTCCCAGAAGAACAAGGCAGAGGCAGAGCGAGCCGGGCCCATGAGCACAGGGATCGGACCCTCCCCATCCCTGGGGACACGCTGGTCTGAGGGCAGGGCTCCCTGGGACCCCGGGGGCAGAGGGAGCCATCCCACTGCGCCCTCCCCACTGCCCCCACCAGCGCAGACTCTTCAGGCCCTCTGGGATCAGCACTCCTGGTATGGGCCAGCTAGGCCCAGCAGGCCAGGGGAAGGGAGCTGTGACTCCAGGGATACGGGATGTGTCACCTCCATTCACATGTGCTTGCCTTAAGCATGTGCTGGGGACGTGGCCACGTGAGGCTCCAGGCCCTGCCCTTTGCTTCCACATTCTTGCCAGGGAGACAGAGATGGAGTGGAGGGAAAGGAGAACCAGCCAGCAGGGGAGGGTGGGAGGTTGGGAGGGCACAGGGCTTCCTGGAGGGAGCAGTGTGGAGCGGGACAAGGATCCTGAGAGCTGGGGAGCCAGAGAGAAGAGAGTTGGGGCGGAGGAGGCAGCTCGGTGCAGCGGCCAAGAGAGCACACTGGGCAGGCAGCACCTTGTGGCTGAATCCACCCGATGGAAGCAGCAGGTCACAGGGGCCAGGGAGAGTCACCAGAGCAGGGCTGCTCTGGTGTGGGGCGCAGGAGTGCTGTTGTACCAGGACCTTATCACTATCTTTTAAAAAAATTGGCCAGGCTCTCAGGGAAGGTGGGGGTCAACCTCAGTGACTGCCCCCCCATTTATTCATTGGATAGTAATAATATTGACTTCTTATTGCATGCTCAGGATTGTCCTAGGTTTTAGGAAGGTCAGGGACCGCCAGATGACCCTGCCGTGGGGGCTTTCACTCTCCCCCAGGAGAGGACAATAGACTCTTTGAGTTACCAGTGTGCTGGCAGATGAGGCATGGGGACAGGAAGGTGGCTGCGGCAGGGTGACCACGAGAGCGTCAGTGGGGGACACAGTCACGCGGTACCTGGGGCCTGACCCGAAAGCACTTCCTGGCTGTGGGAAGGGCCTGGGCTCTCCCCATGGCAGGGAGGGCTCCCCTGGGCTGTTCCAAGCTCAGAAGAGACCCCGGCCCCAACTTGGGGTTAAGGATCCCCTTGGCTGTGCAGAGTCAGATGGCAGGGCGTGAGGCTGGGCAGATGGGAGCAGCTGGGACGACCCCACGCGCCCAGGCAAGAGGCCAGGGCGGCAGCCAGCGGGGTGAGGAGCGGCCGGACACTGCACACATGGGCCGGGCGGGTCTGCAGATGAGTTGCAGCGAAGCAAAGGGAAGGCGGCTGGGGGCCGAGGCCTGCCCGGAGCGAGCCAGGAGCACTCGGGCTGCGCACAGCCAGGCCTGGCTTCAGTCTGCACACCCTGCCCCTCCCCGCTCACCAGAGCCACATCAAGAAGAGGCTGTTCATGTTCCGGTTCGGGGACCGCGGGATGAGGATGAACTGGGTCCACGTGCGTAATCTCGTGAAGGCACACGTGCTGGCGGCGGAGGCCCTCACCGCAGCCAAGGGCTACGTGGCCGTGAGTCTCCCCGAGCGCCCCCCACAGGGAGGCTCCGCCCCCGCCCCAGTCTTCTTCCTCCTTTCGGCTGGCTGGCTGGCAGGGCTGTGGGCCCAGGGGGCCCGGGGGTACGGGGTGGAGGCCACTTTCTAAAGTGCCATTAGCTCTTCACGTAACTACAAGGTTGGTGTGCTGACGCGGAAATATCAGCCACATAGATATTACATTCCATGACTATAACAGCCCGAGGGGGTGCCCATTATTATCTCTCCATTTCTCAGATGAAGAAACTGAGGCACAGAAAGCTTGACTTAATCTGGGTCACAAAGCTTGTCAGTTTGGTGGCCTTAGAACATACAGTGCCTATCCCCGGGCCTGGGGGCTGCTCAAGAGAATAAAGGGGTTGAAACCATCAGAGGGCTGAGGTCAGGCTGGGGGGCAGTTGTCTCACTGTCCTCCTCTCGTGTCCCCCTCAGAGTGGGCAGGCCTACTACATCAACGATGGGGAGAGCGTCAACCTCTTTGAGTGGATGACCCCGCTGGTAGGTGTCTGGACACCAGCCCCTTCACAGGGAGGCTCTGGAACCCTGTGTTCTCTCTTGCTCATCCTCCTCCACTTCCAGAACAATCCAAGGCTGTCACATTAGGACTACCTGCTGCCAATCTGTATCCGCCTCTAGCCCTCTGGGGCTCTCATGGTTGCTTTGGTGCTTTTCTTTGTCAAGCTAGGGATGGATGTGTATGCTAAGCAAGCGATGCTGAGTAAGCGTCCTCCCTGAGCTACGTCCCCGTCCTGCTCTGTGGTCCCCTGTCCTGCGCGTAGAGGCCCTGAACAGGTGTTGTAGCAGGTGCCAAAGCACACAGGGAGATGCCAGCCCTGGGCTCCGGTGGGAACTCTGGTCTCCTCTCTCGGGAGCCCACAGAGGCCCCCAGGGGCCAGGCTGCCTTGACAGGACAGAGCAGAGCCTGGGCGGTGGGCTCATCCTCCAGCTCACCATTCCCTTGCCAGGGTAACCTTCCAGAGATGGGCAAAGCCAGCCCGGCATAGCCAGGAAGAGATCATTTGTCCTCTCGGTCTGACACCCCACAGGAGTTTTGGTTTGGTTGTTTAAATCACAAATTTATGGAGATACCACTCACAAACCATGCTGTTCACCTATTTCAAGCAAACAAGTCAGTGATTTCTGGTTTACTGGGAGCTGTCCAAACACCACCTTGTTCATTTTAAAGCAAGTCATCATCCTCCTCAGAACAGAACAAGTCTCACCTGTAGCAGCCCCAACCCTAAGCGGCCCAAGCCCGCCTCTGTGGGTTTTCTCCTTCTGCACACTTCCTGCGAAGGGAGACGGGGTGTGACCTCGTGCATCTGCCTCTTTCCCAACATTTTCAGCTCGGATCTGTGCTGTGGCATGCATCCTGCCAGGATTTCAGTCCTTTCTCTTGCCATCGATACTCCCTTCCGTGGCCACGGCACCTACTGCTCCGTACATTCACCAGCTGACAGAAATGTGGGCTCTCCGTTTCCGGGGTGTTGTAAATAGTTAACAGTGAGCACGTGCGTGGGCCTGTGCTTTCGGTTCTCTTAGACAGATTCCTAGGAGGGTCTTGGGTTGCAGGTAACGGTGCTTACCACCTTTAGAGGAGCCACCAAACTCCTTCTCAAAGCAGCTGCAGTATTTCGTGTTCCCTGTAGTGGAAGAGGCCCCAGTGCCTCCTCCTCAGCCTTGCTATGATCTGCCTTTGAGGCCTGGAGAGTTCCTGCCATGAGGAGCCCAGTTTAGCCCGTGCCAGCCTGCTCTTTCATGTGTCTCAGCCACCTTCTCGCGCTTGCTATTTTCCCTGTAATAGAAAAGTCAGTTCTAGAAAACTCAGATACGACTTAAGTACCTGAAAGTGTCTTTTGGTGTTGACAGATATAAGCAATAATCAAATGACCCAGATGATCCCAGGTTACAGACCGGCCACACTCTCAAGCCCTACTCAAGACCACCGCAGACTTGGGCTGGCTTGGAGTATGCTTATGGGTCTTGGGGCATCCTCGGCTAGTGTGGTTAGAGGCCAGGTGGGCTTCCCACACCAGCCCCTGAACAATCTGTTCTCATCTCAGATGTATTCCCTTGCAGTTTGAGAAGCTGGGGCACAGCCAGCCCTGGGTCCAGGTACCTACTTCATGGGTTTATGTGACAGGTAAGGAGAAGCATGCGTGGGCTATTGCCACTGTGTACCAGCTGCACATAAGACATGCTTTGCCCCATTGCAAAGCCAGGGCTGGATTAGGAGGGGCAGGCTCCAAATTGCCAAGCCCTGCCCTGCATTTGGAGGGGTGCAGGCCTTGACACTTGGTGCTGGAGGTACCCTTCCCCTCGTCATGGCTTTGACCCTTGTTTAAGCCCCACTCCCCCTGCAAAGCCCACATGACTGGCCCAGTGTAGAGATGGGGAGACCCATCCTCTGAGGCACTCTGAGCTGGCTGCATGGACACCTGGGCATGGCTGGCTCCTGTTGCCTGCACTGGCAGGTGCCAGTGAAGGGGCCCTGGGGCTGCCCTGTGCCCCAAGGTCACCCTGAAGTGAGGGCTACCTTGGGACATGCAAAGGTCCTGTTAACCCCAGATGACCCTCCTCATCCTGAAGGTCAGTGTCTGTCCCCACCCCACCACCACATCCTTGCTGCTGCCCCTGTTTTCACCCCAGCTTCCTGCTAGAAGACACAGTAGGCATCTGGCACGGCATGACCAGTGTGGGGGCCAGGTGGCTCTCAAGTCCTGGGTTCCCCGCACACCTTAGACTGGACCTGCTATGTTTTCAAGGCACTGGGATCTTGCCATTGAAAACAAGCATTTGCACACTTGCTCAGCTCCTTGTGCACAGCACTGCCCCCTGTGTGTTTGGCATGCCTGGCCATCAGCCACAGGGAGGCTGTAGGCAGGGATTGTGTGCACACTTCCGCTTCCTGGCACGCAGACAACTCAGTGTTTCTCCACCTGACTGCACAGTAGCCTCACCTGGAGCTTTGAAAATGGAAAGTAAAAATATAAGCCTTGGCCACACCCCAAGATCGAGAGGAGGGCTGGGAGGGAAGCAGCCTGCTCCCTAAAGTGCCCACGGCTCAGCCCAGGGTAAGAAGCGCTGCTCCTACCCACCCTCCCTGAGGGAGCACAGCAGAACAGGAGCAGGGTCTGCTCGGGTGTATGTCAGTCCTTAACATTACTGTAATAACACGGTGCTTGTGGGTGCCCTTCCCAGCTAACCAGGCATCCCAGCATTGCTACTGACTTAAGGGAACCCAGTGACTTTTTCAGAGGGACCCTTAGAAAAGCCAGTAGCGCCCCCAGTTAGCTCATCCTCAAGGCCTCCCTGAGGTTTGCATGAAGTGAGAGCCCGAATCACTGGCCCTCTCCCCACAGCCGCAGTGATGGAATTCCTGCACCTGGCCCTGAGGCCCTTCGGCAGTCTGCCCCTGCTGCTCACGCGCAGTGAGGTAAGTGGGCTCCTGGGCCGCTCCCTGCCTCCGGGCCCTGCCTCCGCCCCCTGCGCTCGCTCTCAGGACCTTCCGCGGAGCCCAATCCCCTGCCGGCTTCTTTAGAATCTTCTGGGCTGTGGCTCAGGCTGCGCCAGCTGGCTCTGGAATGGGACAGCTCCAAGCCCTTCCCTCCTTCTGGCTGTTGTTTGCTGAGCTTCCCAAGAGCAGCTGAGCCCCACTGTCTTGGAGGCCGGCCCTCCACACACGCCCGAGGGGACACGCGCTCAGAGCCTGTGCTCAGCAGACAGTGAGTGTGCATTGAGCACCTACTATGTGGCACAGAACGCTGCTCTCAGAGTAACAGCACAGTTCTGTATTTGCTTAGCATGTGCAGCTTAAAAGAGGCTGTTTTAATGCAGGTTGTAAGCAGGAAGCAACAGGTGGTGTCTGGGGTTATTTCCCAAGCCTTTTCTCATCCCTTCTTTTGTTTTATTCTCTCAGATATCCTGTTAAATTAGGAAAGTAAAAAATATGATGACCTCCACTCTATGAAGAGAAACTGAGCATTACAGAAAGTGGTCAGGCCACACTGGAATTAGGTTCAGGTTCCATAGCCAGTACTCCCTGGGGGGCGTCACCTGCGATTTCTGCTTTGCCTGTGCAGACTCGCAGAGTCTTCTGCTGAGTGGTGATGTGCTAGGCCCAGCCCCCCGTGGCATGGAATCTCCACTCTACTCTCAGTTGTAGATTGTTCTCATGTCCATTACAGAGGAGGACATGACTCAGTGAAATGACCTGCGCACAGTCCCTTGGTGGTACTGGGATTCTCACCCACACCTAAATGATTCCAAACTCAACCACGAGCTGATGAACAGCTACAGGAATCCCACCAATGCAAAATAGCTGCAAGACACTGCTGAACTGGACAGGCAGGGCCTTGACCCTCTGGCCTAAACTGTGGGTCCCTTGTCCAGCTCAGAGGCAAAAAGTCCATCAGTAGTTAGCTGCTGAGGGGCTGTGACTAGGGCATCCCCTGCTGGCCGGTCTGTGGCACAGCAACCAGCCCTTGGGGTGATTTTACAGTCAGCCATTCATCATGTATTGAGCGCCTACTGTATGCCCAGTAACACTAACTCAGCGGGACCAAGCTACTTCCGCACTGCCAAAGCCCTGGACTGATCAGCTGGGCCAAAGTGGACAGGAACTGCCCTCCTTCCCGCTCCCACTAAACTGTCCGAGTCCAGGGACCCGACAGCCTGATCCTGGGGCTGTCAGTGCCCATTCTCCATGGGAGAATGGAGAAGCCAGCAGATCTTTCCCAGTGCTCATCCGAGGAACAAGAGGGGAAGAAATGACTCAGGTGAGAGAGTATCTTTGGGCTTCAGCATGCCAGTGAAGAACACCGGCTCGCATGTGACCCTCCTGTGTGACCTTGGGCAAGTCATTAACCTCTCTGATCGCCAATTTCCTAATATGCGAAGAGGAAATAGTGCTATGTCTGGAGAAAATGATGTAAGAAATGTAAAGGGCTTAGCCAGGTCCAACCGTGCTCTGTTCCTGATAGCTGTCATTACTGAGCCCAGTAGGCCCCAGGCCATCTGGTAGCAGAGAAATCCAGCTCAGACCTTGGAGAGAATCTCTCTTACGCCCATGTAAGCAGCCAGGAGGGCCTGGAGGCTGTGCCTGCGGCCCACCCCACAGTAGGTCTAAGGCTAAGGGGAGCCAGCAAAATGGTTCTTAGAGACGAGACGGTTTGCCAGGGAGCCACACACAGACCACAGGCAAGATATTGAGCCTACCACATCCAGGGGCCTCCTGGGATCCGCCCTGAACAAAGGGCGAGAAGGGCAGAGGTAGGACATTTGCTTCTTAGGGATATGGTGCGAGTTCCGCGGGCCTGGAAAGACACAGAAAAGTCTCCCTGAGGCGGCGCCTCCCAAGGAAATGGAGATCTGTGAGCGAAAGGAGGCGAGAAAGGCCCCCTGGGGAGGGCACAGCAGAAACAGGATGCAGCAGCTCAGATTTTTTAAATCTCTGGGAGACGGAGGGGCAGTCTCTGCGCTGCTTTCCCTAAATAGCGAGGCAGAGGAAGCTCGCGCCTCCCGCTAGCCCGGCCCCTCGCTGCCCGCCTCTCCCGCAGGTGCAGTCCGTGGCCGTGACGCACACCTTCCGGATCGCCAAGGCCCGTGCTCAGCTTGGCTACGCGCCGGACAAGTTCAGCTTCGCCGACTCTGTGGAGCGATACATGCAGTCCGCGAGCCGGCAGCCGCGGGCCTCCGCGGCGCGGACACTCCTGCGGCTGCTGCTCGGGCTCCTGCTGCTGCTCGGCCTGCTCGGCCTGGCCCTGCACGTACTAGGCTTGCAGCCTCTGCAGGAGGCCGCGCAGAGCCTCTGAACGCCCGCTACCCGCAGGTGTCTGCCCCGCCTCGCGCACCCCGGGGTGCAGACGCTCCAGCCCGGGACCCGCCCACCTTGTGGACCCGGCTACTCCGGGGACCTGCGGCTCCGCCCCCAGTCCTGCCACGCCCGTTCCCCCTTCTGGATTTGCCCGGTCCCCGCCCCGCCTTCAGGATGTGGCTGCGCCTGGGAGCCACCCGACGGCCTCTAAGATATGGCCACGCCCCATGTCCCGTCTCTGGACCCGCCCCGCCCGCCCAGCCTTCAGTGCGCGGCTGCGCCTGGGAGCCGTGGCTCCGCCCCTAAGTCCCGGCCCCGCCTCTCTCCCGCCTCTGGACCCGCCCCGCCCGCCCAGCCTTCGGGATTCGTCTACGCCTGGGAGCCGTGGCTCCGCCCCCAAGCCCTGGCCACGCCTCTCTCCCGCCTCTGGACCGGTCCTGGCTTCAGGACTTGGCTATGCCAGCTGTGGCTCCGCCCCAAATTCAGGCCCCGCCCCCTCACCATCCGCCCCGCCCCCGGGCTGTGCGCCGGGCTGTGCGCTGAGCTCTGCTCCGCCCCTGTTCAACCTGTTGCTGCGGAGGTCGCAGCCTCGGAGCACGCTCAGTCCCAGGCTTCTCCCCGCCTGTGCCTAGGGCCGCCCCACACCATTCCCGGGCTGGGGCTCTGCCCTTCCTGACCACCCCCCTGCTCTGGAGCCCAGCCTTCGATTCTCTCTCCGACTGGCCGTGCTGCTAGGCTCAGCCCCCAGCCCCTCCCGGGCCTTCCTGCCTTCCGCGCCCCTGGGGGCCAGGCGGTAGTATTTGGGGTTTGCGCCGATTGCTCCCGATTCCAGACTGGCGCGTCCTTCTCGGGGCGGCCCTGGCCTCCCTGGGCGTGCCCGGAAATCCTTTGGGAGCCCTGAGCCAGACAGTCCCCTCAGCGAGGGATCCGCCGGAATCCCAGGTGGTGGGTTCGCTTTGCAGACAGGTCTCCGCTGCCAGCTGGAGCTTGACGGAGGTCTGACTCCGGCTTCCGTCCCGCCCAGCTTGGCCTTTGGGTCCCTAATTTATGATTTTTGAAGGTTACTCAGCCTAGTAAACACGGGCTTCTGTACCAGAAAGGGATGAAAAAGGAAACTTTGTAGGCGATTACAGGTCTCCCGAAAGTACCCACACGGTTACAATGGGGAAAAGAAGATTAACTGGTCGCGCTTTGTGACTTGGTACTGTTTCTACCCGCTGACGTAGGGCAGTGGTGGCACTGTCCTCTGTCAGGAGGAAGCCCCAGAATGTCTTGGCCCAGCCCGGCCTCCACCGACCCCGCCCCGCTGGCGTCGCGGTGTGGACCGCGGGTGCCAGGACGGCGGTGTGTAACTGGCCCGGGTGTCCCCCTCCCACGATGCCCACGATGCCCACGCGGGTGGTGGCTGGGAGGAGCGCGCCACGGCGCTGACCAACTGGCTCGAGTACGTCTCCGCGGAGAGCAGGGAGCACAGTGTGTGGGCGGGCTTAAAAAGAAGCGTGCTTCTCCCGGTAGGCGTATTTGTTGTGTCTGTGTGCAATTTTCTAAAAGGTCAGCAATAATCGTTTACGTCTGTAATGCCTGACTCCTTGCGAGGGTTTCGCCCGCGTGGTCCTGAGTCGGGGTCGTCCTTAGACAGGACTTGTTACCATACTTTTGTGGGCTGACTGGGGCTGGGGCTGCCTTCAGAGAACAGAAGAGGTGGGTTTAGCGCTCTGTAGCCGGGAGAGTTTGGGGAACCCTCCACTCCACCGCTAACTTGTGTGCCCCGGAGGTAGAGACCCACTCTCTGTGGCCCTGAGCCTAGAAGCATTGAATTAAGGACTCGGGACGTTTTCAACAGTAAACGGGTATCCCCGTTGCATTCTTCTCGCGAAAGGGATCCGTGTTTGTTTTTTGTTTTAAAAGCGTGGAATTGGTGCAGGCGTCTTCAGTCTTGGACTAGAGAGAGGGCAGATGTGCTCGGCAAAGTGTTTTGTTTTTTTTTTTCCTTCTCTTCTCCTCCCCCCCCCCCGCCCCCGTTCCGCATTCCGTGTTTTTAGAAGAGAAAAGGCTTCACAGGGAAAAAGAAATCAAGAGCGAGAAGTCGAAAAGAAAAAGAGAACCATTCGGACCTGGCAGCGGTGGGATTCGAACCCACGCCATCGAAATGACTGGAGCCTAAATCCAGCGCCTTAGACCACTCGGCCACGCTACCGCCCGTGTGTGAGGCGCTGCCCGCGGAGCCTGTTAGCGTGACGAAGGGCGCTGTGACGCGGAGGGCCGGCCCAGAGAGGCTTCCGCGGCCGCCGGCCCGCCGCGCTCCGCCTCCGCCTCCGCCTCCGCCTCCGCCTCCCTCGGCGCTTCCGCGGCCGCCGTCCTGCCGCGCCCCACTACGACTGAGCGCGGCGGCGAGGCTGAGCCGGCTGGAGGGAAGAAACGGCGCGTGCACGTCCCGCGCCGCCGCGCCCCGCACCCCTCCGCACGGCCTCTGCCGCCGCGCGGGACCGCAGCCGGCCCGGGACTCGGGGCACGCGCGAGCTCCCCGGGCGGCGCCCCGCGGCCTCAGACCCGAGTTCCTGCGCGCAGACCGAGCGCTTTCGAGGAGAGAGAGGGCACCGCGCACAAGCCGTTTCACATCGTCCATAATTGTTGGTAGTTGGCAGATTTGCTGTAAATCTCTACAAATTAAAAGAAGCGTTGGGGACGTAGCTCAGCGGCATGAGTGCCTGTAGGCCAAGAAAATGGTCCTGAGTTCGATCTCAAGTACCAATAATGATAATAATAAGAGAACACTAGATACTCTCGCTTTCTATCTCTTTCTCTTGCCTGGGGAGTTTTAAGTCCTTTCAGTTTACTTTTTCCTAATTTTACCTTTAGATGGGATTATCTATTTCCTCGCATTAGATTATTATTATTATTGATTTCCTCACATGTTTAAAGATGTTAGTAAACAAAAATCCAGGGTTCTAAAGATGGTTGGGTACGTGGACACAGAGACTGAACAATGGCCACCTAAAGATGTCGCACTCAAACCCACACAACTCTTGCGTGGCCTTGGGACCCTGCAGGTGTGACTGAATGGAGGAGCTCCAGACGGAGAGCAGGTGAATTTCCAGGTGGTCCCAAGGTGAGCACCAGGGTCCGTCCTTGTAAAAGAAAGGAGCTAGAGGTGAAATTGGAGGGTGGAGATAGGAAAATCTGAGCGATACAGCCGCACACCAACCAGTCGCTCTATAAATTGGGAACCAGCCCCCCAAACCTCCAACAAGGAACACAGGGTGTCTGACACTTCGATTCTCTGAGGACTAACGACCTTCGAAATGGTAAGCTGATCCGTGTGTATTTTTCTAAGCCACTAAATTTGTGGCACTTTGTGGCAGCAACAGTAAGAAACCAGCACAGAAACTGGACAGTGTGGCACATGCCTGCAAAGCCAGCACTTGGGAGGCTGAGGCAGGGAGATTCCCATGAGCTGGAGGCCAGCCTGGAATCCATACTTCAAGGCAGCCTGAAATACACAATGGAACCCTGTCTCAAAAAACCCAAATAAATAAGGAAAGAAACTGATGCAGTGGGTGAAGGCATGGACCCGTATCTGAGCTCTCCCTAGGATGTGGGATGTGGAAAGTCACCTCTCTCTGGGCTTCAGGGGCTTATCCCTGGAATGCAGTGACAACTGCAGCCTCCTTGCAGATTGGCCGTGAGGATTAGATCCAGTCGTTCTGCAAGTACTTCTGAGGCTCTTCCAGCGGGGCCAGGTATTGCTCTGCTCATGTCAGGAATAAAGCCGTGAAGGTCAAATGTGTTACATAGCAAGAGCATAAGGAGGTGTAACCGCCCTGCACCTCAGAGCCCCCTGCAGGGCCCCCATGGGCATGGCTCACTCCACGGCTCTCACTTGCATCCACCACTGCAGCCAATGGATATTTATGGCTTTCTCCCAGGAGCATAGCGGGCCTTGCATAGCATGCTGGTTCCACAAGGACAGCCGATGGTGTTGTTACCCAGTGCTACATCCTCAGGACCTAACAAATGTCTGGAGTGAGCATATTCCTTAAATTATTTTTTCTTTGCTTTCTCTCCTTTTTTTTTCTGGTTCAGTGCCAGATATCAAAACCAGGTCCTCAGACGTGCTAAGTCTTCCCATGTGTGCTACCTAGGCCACAGGGCATAAGCCTGGGTCGAGGGGACCCATTTCTTTCCTACTCTGAAGTTGTACTTTAGCTTTCTACTAACCAGCTGTGCTTCTCAGTACCTTTTCGCGAGGGACACAGGAAGCAATCTATGTGTTCACCCACTTGGTATGATGCCTGGCAAGGAGTGAGCATGTGCAAAAGTGGCAGCACATGATTTGGAACGACCTTTGGTGCTGTCCAACTGGTTTTGCGTATGTTCACCTGAGCATCACAGAGGGTCTGACAGACCCACACCACTCCAGGTTTTGTTTTAAATTATTTTTTTCTTTTAATTTTGCTGGTAGAAATAGCCAAATTCAGTACAATGGCACATGAAAAACAAGATTTGCAAGTTTTGGAGGAGGTCAAGAGTGAATCATCTGATGACTTGTGCAGGGATGAGGAGGAGGATCTATCCTGGTAAAACACAGGCTTTCCTGGCAGAAGAGTGATGGGGTGGGCAGTAACGATGATGTCTGTGACACTGGCCACGTGAGCCAAGTTCCCGTGACAGTGACGTGGAGCAAGGATCCCCGATACAGACACAGGGAATGCTGGCCTACTTGATTCAGATGACCAAGAAAACAGCATCGTGAGTACATACTGGACCAGTGGTCCAAAATTTGCAAAGTGGTCACACAACCTACTGGAACGGTCCAGTGTTAGAACCGGGCCCAACAATATAGCGAGGGTCTTGGCAGGGGTGAAACGTAGCGGACAGAATGCCAGCACAGCCACTCCGTGTTGGGAACTGTAACAAGCGAAATGCTTCCAGATGCTGCGAAACACACAAAGGCTGAAGTGCAAGAGGGGCACTCTGTGTGCACCAGCAGCCATGTGC